ACAAGTAGTGCAGCGTCAGTCACACGTGTGACAGGAGTCAGCATCAACGTATCACACACTCCTGCGGCTGTCAAACGCTCAGTACAAATAACACACAACTCAACAAAGTCTTTGACCAGATCACCAGCAGAACTACTAGTGATGAGGGACTTAACTACCCATAATGAACTCTTCAACTGATCAGAATGAGTGAACACAGTCAGATAACACGAGCAGCTGCTGGCTGAGCTCATCAATAATGAGCTGTAATTGTGTTCACATGACAGAATCACACAGGAAACCAAAGAGAAGAAACTTCCTCTTTCAGACGCTGCTAAAGCGAAGGCAGGGCTGAAGAACGACAGAAGTGGTCTGTCTGCTCATCATCATCATCACAGAAGCAGGTAAGATCCAACATTAACAACACATGCTCAAACTTTATTTACAAACTGTCTGAGCACTTGAATACTGTACAAACAGTTTAAAGAAAGCATTTCACATGCATTCTAAACCAGAAGCATCTTTATTTCAGAACATACATTTTCTGAATGCCTTTTTAACATCTAATGTGGTCAAAATGTATTGCAGATGAGAAAAAAAAACACATTACAAATGCATCAAATGTACATGTGGGATCTGTTATAGTTCCTTTCTGCAGTGTAATGAAATGTACCACAGTACCACTGTATATTAAAAAATATATATTTTAAAATTGTGAACAAAACAAATTATTGGAGTAGATTTTACAAGAAAAGACTTTTTCTGTTTCTGTTAAAATTTTCACATTTATTTCAATGTGTTACTCCACATTTCTTTGTAATCATTTGTGAAATGTATTCATAATTTAAGGGGAAATTGTTAATTAATTAACACTTAAAATGTACTAAAAACAAATGTACTCAAATCGATTCAATTATAAAAATTCGTAAGTAAAATCATTTTAAAATATAAACTGTGTGTGTGTGTGTCTGTGTGTGTGTGTGTGTGTGTGTGTGTGTGTGTGTGTGTGTGTGTGTGTGTGTGTGTGTGTGTGTGTGTGTCTGTGTGTGTGTGTGTGTGTCTGTGTGTCTGTGTGTGTGTGTGAGCATGTGTGTGTCTGTCCGTGTGTGTGTGTGTGTGTGCGTGTGTGTGTGTGTGTGTGTGCGTGCGTGTGTGTGTGTGTGT